ATTAAATTAAAAAGAGAGGCCGCAATGAATCGAAGAGGACTGTGACGAATCTGCGGCTTCAAAGTATGCACGAAAACGTGCTTCCGCTTTACCATCCAGCGAGTTGGAAATAGAGGCGGAGTGCTCGCTTGTCGTGCGGACGGAGCTTTGAATTTCAGTGAAGCTCCTGACCGCTCGGGTCCACTGACAAAAAGTAAACTTGCAGTATTTGTAAGGGTTTGAACATTTTAAAACTAATTGGATTAATGAGCATCTAATAATTACTCAATTGCATTACTCAAGATGTATTGTTTTCCTGCCTGAGTGGTTTAGATACCTGGTTGGAGAACCAGAGGCTGAGAGTTCAATTCTCTGCTGTGCCTCTCGGGAGAAGAGCCAGCCTTGGCCCCAAAAGAAGGAAACGGGGAAGCACTTCGGAGTACTTTCTATATAAAAGTACACAAAACTTTAATTAATAGACAAGGCTCAGTTCTGGGCCCAGTGCTCTTCAATATTTTTTATAAATGACTTGGATGAGGGCATACAACACTTACTAAATCCGGCGGTGACAGAAAATTGGGTGCAATAGCTAGTACCCTGGAAAACGGGGACAAAACTCACAAAGATTTTGATAGGCTTGAACAACAAAGAGATAAATGCTGAGTTCACCTACAAAAAGCAAACAAATGTATAGTTTACAAGATGTGGGATACTTGGCTCAGTAATATTACAAGTGAGAGGGATCTTGGAATTATAGATTGAAAGCTGAATATGAGCCAAAAGTGCAACATGGCTGCAAAAAAGATCAATACTATTTTAAAATATTACCAGAAGTATAGTCTCCAAATCCTATGAGATACCAGTTCCCCTCTATTCAGCACTGGCTAGGCCTCATTTAGAAAACTATCCAGTTCTGGACACTAAGGATGCTAACAAACTGGAAGAAGTTCAGAGGAGGGCAACAAGGATAATCAGGGGACTGGAAACTAAGGCCTATGAGGAAAGTGTGAAATAACTGGGCCTTGAGAAAAGACTGAGGGAAGATGACATGATAGCACTTTTCAAATACTGTACTTGAAAGGTAGTCATACAGAAGAGGAGCAGGATCTATTCTTGATCATCCCAGAGGGTAGCACATGTAATAATGGGCTCAAGCTACAGGAAGCCAGATTTAGGCTGAATATCAGGAAAAATCTTCTTAACAGTTAGTGCAGTACAACAATGGAACCTATTACCTTGGGAGGTCCCCTTCACGGATTGCTGCCTTGTCGTGGTGAAGGGGCTTGAGTAATTCAGAGAAGCTATGGGCTATGCTGTGCAGGGACACCCAAGACAGACAGGTCACAGTGGAGAGTTCTGACTAAACGCAATCCACCTGGAGCAGGAACAGGCAAGCCACTCCAGTAACTTTGCCAAGAAAACTCCATGGACAGAAACAAAAGGCTAAAAAATATGACGCTGGAAGATGGGCCCCTCAGGTCAGAAGGCGTCCAACGTGCTACTGAGGAAGAGCAGAAGACAAGTACAAGCGGTTCCAGAGCTAATGAAGTGGTTGGGCCAAAGTCAGCTGTGGACGCACCTGGAAGTGAAAGGAAAGTCCGATGCTGCAAAGAAAAATACTGCACAGGAACCTGGAATGGAAGATCTATGAACCTTGGTAAGCTGCATAGATCAGGAGATGGCAAGAATAAATACTGACATTTAGTCAGTGAACTAAAATGAACGGGAATGGGCGAATTCAATTCAAATGATTATCATATCTACTATTGTGGACAAGAATCCTGTAGAAGAAATGGAGTAGCTCTCTTAGTCAACAAAAAGAGCGGGAAAAGCTGTACTGGGATACAATCTCAAAAATGATAGATTTCAATACGAATCCAAGGCAGACCTTTCAACATCACAGTAATCCAAGTTTATGCACCAACCACTGATGCTGAAGAGGCTGAAATTGACCAATTCTATGAAGACTTACAACACCTTCTAGAACTGACACCAAAGAAAGATGTTCTTATTATTGGGGACTGGAATGCTAAAGTAGGGAGTCAAGAGATAAAAGGAACAGGTAAGTTTGGCCTTGGATTTCAAAATGAAGCAGGACAAAGGGTAATAGAGTTTTGTCAAGAGAATAAGCTGGTCATCACAAACACTCTTTTCCAACAACACAAGAGGTGACTCTACACATGGACATCACCATATAGGCAATACCAAAATCAGATTGATTATGTTCCCTGCAGCCAAAGATGAAGAAGCTCTATACAGTCAGCAAAAACAAGACCTGGAGCTTACTGTGGCTCTGATCATCAGCTTCTTATAGCAAAACTCAAGCTTAAAC